TCTGGCTTAGTTGAGATTTCTTTTTGCAGTTTTTGAGGTAGGCAAATGCTAACTTCCTTGTGCAGTTTCGATTTGATAATTTCTGACACCACAACTCTTTGAAGATAAAATAATCCATACAACATGAAGTAGGATCACTCACAAGTTACCAGTTGTGTTTAAGATAATGCACCACCAATGTCATTTCTGTGTGTCCAGATTATTTATGTTGGAATGAGTATTTGTTTTTCTTCTAGATTTTTATGAAACAACGTGTTACACTGGGTGTTCTTCTGTTTGTTTTGCAGCTTCCTTATTGTGCTGATATGCCTTATCTTCAGTGTGCTTTCTACAATTGAACAGTATGCAGCTCTTGCTACAGGGACGCTGTTTTGGATGGTATGTATTAATGTGATTGTGTGTTTGTTCTTAACATGTAAATCCTCATCTGAACCAATGTCATAGGCACAATGCTCTGTATGGTTTAGAAAGAAGCTTTTTTCTCTTTTGCCTAATGAGTCTATAAAGCCCTAGAAAAAAATCAAAAAGTTATGATCGTACAAAAAGCCACTCAGATCCTACATAGCCTATAATAAGGATGTTCAAATTGTGTCCAACTCAAAGCTATTCTGAAGTTAAACCTGAATCCCTCATATTGGTTGTGTGAATCCATTGTTCAGCCTTGCTGAATACCAGACTTCTCAGCGTGGTTGGGGCCGGGGTGTGAAGGGAATAGAGTAAATGGAAGTCCTCTCTTTAAGCAGAATTCAGATTCAGCCTTCTTTCCCAACTGGTAAGCTGCTTTGCTTTCATTAACTTGAGAATTATGCCAACTTGCTCTGCTTGTTCTATGCAGCTTCCCTTCAGCAATGAACATTTTGTTACCTTAGGTTTATGGTTCACTGATGCTGCAGCAGTTATATATCAAGCTATGTTCTAAGAGTACTGCTGTCCTGCCTGTTTAGACTTCATTCAAGAACCTTAGTTTTGAAGTCTGAGAGGCACATTTTTCATCACAGGAAAAAAAAATAAAATCTTAATTTGTTGTACCTCACTGGTAATTGATGTATCCCCTTCTAAATCATTGGTTTCTTTGTATTTGCCCATTATTTAACCATTATTTTACTCCTGAAAACACTATCACTGTATTGAGAAAATGTTAACCATCAATTTGTTTGTTTGAAATAGTTCTTGCAGTTGTGCACCAGTGATATCATTATTGTGTATATCATTAACATAAAAATGTTCATTTAAAATATTGTTTCAAACCGTGAGTTCAATAAATGTGAAGTTTTTATACTACATTTTGAGTAATATAAGAATAAGCACAGCATATGAGTGTTGATCACTTGCTTTCTGTGGAATGTATCTTCATGCCTGCTGTATTATTTATAACTAACTGGTAAGTTGTTTGAATACCTGTGTTACAACTGTGCAGTTAGTTAAAGGGAGTCTATACCTGTATTTTTGCATCCAATATCTTATTTGGTTTATGGTTTTCTTTTTGTATGGATTTAAGGTTCCCTTTTATCCAAGTAGTAGTTGTAGATACTGTCAATTTCTATGATCAATTTGAACTGTGATAATATCTCCTTGAAACATTCATTTGTGATGTATTATGATATTTTCATGATCATGCTGTTGCTTCAGTGAAAGAACTTCTAGTGACAGCGTGACCATTACGTTTTGTTTTTAGTGTTCTTTTTCCTTCATCCTTCACTTTTGATTTTGTGAATGAGATCATGGAAATCATTTTGCGTGTTCACAACGTATTCTTTTCCTAAAGGATTAACTATAGTGATTTTAAAGAGACTCAAATTGATTGCCAGTGATCCACTGATCCAAAGCAGTGGATGGGCCGATGCGCTCTGTGCTCTATCCAGTTTTGGTAAGACTTCCAAAGGAGCTGTGGTACCTTCCTCAACAAAATTTAAGCCCCAGAATCTGGTTCCTATTAGCTTCTACCCAACAAAGTTTCTTATTCTATCCATATTTTAAGGTTTTCTTGTTTCAGTAATAGTCATAGAAGATGTTATAACTAAATGAAAACAAGATCTAAAAGGGATGTTGAGATTGTGCGTATATATGAACACTTCTTAGTTCTTCAGTTTCATAGTATTGAAATATTTTAAAATCACCTCCCACTACCAAAGTAGAAAATCTATTTTCAATAATTTATAAATTATTTTTCAATAATTTCTGAGCATTTTAAAAACGTTAATGCTTTCTCATAACAATAAGGGAGCCAAAGACTATTGGGAAAGTTTGTGTTCCTATCGTGTTCCAGTTGTAGACAAAAAGCTCACAATTAGCCATTGAATCTTTCTCTGCTTGTCACCACACTTCACAAGGCAAAGAACCTTGATGAAAGCTATACCTAAATGCAGTTGTGATGGGAGAATAGGAGAGAATTGGGCTTTTGTTAGCTTCCAGAAGGCAGTGAAAACTGTTTAAATTAGCATGCGTTTATTTTATCGTTTTTCACTAGATGGTGCTGTTGGAGGGGGTTTAACTGCAGTAACTTGTTGGCAGTTACCCAGCGAGAGCTGAGACTGAGCCAAGACTCTGAAAGGATCATCATTTTGAAGGGTGTATGTATACTTGGCCCATTCTAAATAGTGGTGCGGGAGAGCTTTTGCCATGACTCATAAAGAGAATGTAGTATATCTGTGCAAAAATTGATTTTGAAACTACAATATTTAAACTATGGAAAAAAGTAATTCAGAGATGTATGTTCCCAGAGAGGCCATATTTTTCTTTTATTTTCATAAGCAAGGATTTTACGGTGCCAGAACACAGCAGAATGCTGTTATCTCAGCATGATCTAAGAAAATCCAAGTGCCTGATCCAAGGGGATTAAATATTCTGCTGAACGAAGGGATATTTAGTCTGCCTGAAAATGCTATTTTCTTGTAGGAATCTCATTTCAATGTTGATTCCAGAAAAAAAAAAAAAAAGTGACTGTGTTTTAGTGATGAAATTATAAGCACTTTCCAGCTTTTTCTTTTGAGTTCCTTTCTTACCTCAGAGTACTGCTTACTTGAAGAGATAAAAGTATTTTTTAAATATTAAAAATGGCTTCAGAGAAAAAAAAAAGTAATATGTTCAGTGGTTAATATTTGTGTTATTAGCAGTGAAGGAATCTACACAATTGTGAGAGAATGGCACAGAATTGAGGCTTATAAGAAGCCCAGGTTTTATTTCTTGTTTTAATATAAGCTTTTGTTTGAAGATCAGCCTTGGCTTTCTTTTTTTCTTTTTTTTTTTTTTTTTTTTTACTGGGTTGTTTTATGGGCCTTGAGAGAAATACCTACAGCTTTTGATTCTGAAGAACTCACAGAGTCCAAGTGGTTCAGCGTGGTTCTAGCATTTTTTTCCTCATTATCTTCACTGTTCATGAAGCCAAGACAGGAACTTGTAATCTGAGCATTGATAGTTGTTCTCGTTTTCATTGCTCTGAAAAATTATATGAGAGTATAGTTTGTAAAGGATTTCCCCATACTGTGCAGTGCAGACTGCAGTCACTGATGTAGGCAGTCTCTCTGAAGAGTACTGCACTTCTGAAAGCAAAAGACTTGGCAGCCTCAGCAGTGTCCCCTGGCCCTGACCTAGAACAAGGTCGACTGATGTAGCAGATGTGCATATGATGAACTCATGCCTTCAGACCTTTGCTTTTGTAGGACTTGCAAACAGACTTGTCCAGAGGATCACCTTACTATCACTCAATCGATAGCTGAAGTTTGAGAACCCAACTGTCATTCGAAATTGCCTTCTGTGCATTTTAGTTAGCCAAATGTGAGTGACTTGAAGGCTTAGGAAAGAACAGACATGAAAATCATCCTTTCCCCATTTTCCTCTGAACCCCAGTTTTACTGGCTGCTCTGTTTGTCCTGGTGGACAATGCAAGTGTTTTGTTGCATGGTTGCAGTCATTTAGCCCTGCAAGCAGCTAAACACCACAAGGCCTTTAGCTTTCTTGTCTACTCCTAGTGGGATAGGGGAGAGAATTGTGGGGGGAAAAAAGATAGAATTCATATGTTGAGATAATTACTATTTACCAAGACAGAAAAGGAAGAGAGGAATAACAGTAATGATAAAAATATATATGTATATAAACAAAACAAGTGATGCACAAATCAATTGCTCACCACCTGCCAACTGATGCCCATCCAGAGCAGCAGTAACACCCCTCAGCCAACCCCTCTCACTTTTATATATTTTTTTCACAAGATTTCATATGGTATGGAATATCCCTTTGGTCAGTTCAAGTCAGCTGTCCTCTCATGCTCGTGTTCCCCCCCGTCCTCTTGCTGGCTGGATAACTCACAAAGCTGTAAAGCTGAAATGTCCTTGGCTGTAGATAGCACTGCTCAGTAACAGCTAAAACATCGGTGTGTTATCAACACTGTTTTTCTCCTGAAGCTAAAATATTGTATTACACCAGACACCGTACAGAAAATCAACTCTGTCCCAGCTGAAACCAGGGCAACAACCAGCTGGATTGGTTTGGATTGCTACTTGTGGTAACTTCTTCAATTGTTCCTGCTGCTCACAAAGCGATCCCTTGTTAACTCCCCTGGTCTGTGCAGGAAAGTTGTAGATTTTATGTAAATTAGATGTTAAAGGGATGTAATTAATTTGCTTTGGAAGGCTGTGACCATTTTTTAGTTGAGTTTAAATACAGCTTTACGTCCACCTTGAGCAGGTCTGAGGGATGCAAATCAGAGTGGTTGTGAAGTGAGAAGAAGACAGATTATTAGAGAGCTGAGCCAATTTAGTGCTTAGGAGATGAGGTTGTTTGTTTTTTTTTAAAAAAAAAGGAAAATAGGAAGGGAAAAGAAAGCTTGTTAGCATTGTTTGGTATAGCTGAAGTCTGAGCAGAATAAGAATGGCAGGAGGGAATGAAGAAGAAATATGAAAGGAAAATGTGCAAAAACCAGTAAAGGAAGGATGAAAAGTTTTTCCTTTCAGATGTGCTGCAAGTCTAAGCTCTTAACTGTTGTGGAAGGGAGGCACAGCTTTCTCTTTAAAATCTGTAGAGGGCAGCATTGGACCGTGCTGTGTCCCATTTGGAGTGGCTGGGTTCAAACCTTGGATGGTGTCCTGAAGTAGGTAAAAATATCCTTTGGAAGAAGTGAACTATTAATAAAGAGATGGCTTTTCACATGGATTTGGGGAACTTTATACGAGTAATAAAAAAAAAATAAATTCTCCTGGGAGATAGGGGTTGAAGAGAAGGGCTGTGTAAATGTTGCTGCCAGAGACAACTCTTGCCACTTTGTGGCTGTGGCCACAGAGTTCATGTTGTTTGGCCTACCTGATTTCTCATCATGTGGATGGCTGTAAGGAACAATTACAGCTTTCAGTGAGAGGAATTGGGCACATCTGCATGGAGAACAA